GACACCTAACTCTGACTGAGGAGCAGGCTCTAGGGCGAGCAGCTCACCAAGAATAGAAGTGTTTTATCACTTTGGTTGACCGTAGGTGCTTCCCACTGTTCCTCAGAGCTTACAAGGTCAGGAAAACTTGACATCCAGAGAGCTGGTAGAGTACCAAGGGAAGGGTTTTACCCCAGAGCCCAGGGCCTTTGCTTACCTCTGAGCTCTTGCTGTGACACCTCACCCAAGGGAGAGCAATGAGTGAATCATGTAATAATACTCCTTTGAAAGAGAGGCTAGTTTAGGACAGCTTGAGGGTCTAGGGCACTGAAATACCTTCCTGTCCAAAATAGTTTGAATTAGTTGATCTTCATAGCATGAAGCCAGGCTTCAAGGAGAACTGGGGAGGCTGGCTACTGGTCAGTGGGCTGGACTGGGTGGTAGGAAGTTATTAATAGCTGCTCTTCCATGGAAAGAATGAGTTTGGCTTAGATGTGATGTAAAGCTGCTAGCTAGTACAGCAAACTAATGCTGGAAGTCTCATCTATTATCACTTGAATGAGCTCTTTATGCCTTATGGAGAGCCTTGAGCCTCATGGCCTCAGGTCTCCGGGTGTTGGCTCTGAATCTGAGCTGTGTGGTTGGGCAGCACAGGTGCAGGTCTGAAGAAAAGAAGTTTGCTCTTGGCCAGCCTCGGGGAGTGGTGGATGTTTCTTATGTTCCTTAGCAATTTAGGTTCCTTCAAGTTCCCTCATGCTCAGTTCCCACGTGTAAGAGTCAACTCTTTGTTTCTGAAGCAATTTAATTTAAAGTCAGAGAAGTAAGAAAGTTGCTTTTCCACACATTAAAAGTTTTGGAAAGAATATCTCAAAAACTCAGACAAGACCAGTTTGGAACAAAGAGTGGAGGAGATTGGGTGAAATAAACAGATAAAAATTCTCTTTAGTGGAATGTCAATGAGGAATTTTTGGGGGGGGATTTAGCCGGATCAAAGGTTACAGTAAAGCACGAGAGAGATAGATTTGCTTTAAACTATACCAGCTGGTCCTCTCCTTTTAAAGGCTTGTGGGCAGAGTGTCTTTAATGATGTTATTGTGGGTATCTGTTGGACTTGTTCTTGAGCACTTGATTAGAGCTTGACATTTTTAAGGTAAATACTAGGAAAATCAAGTGGTATTGCATTAAGTCTACAGCTTGTATTTCCTTTTGTATCCTTCAGTTTCCTTCAGGAACTTATTCATTTCTTTGCAGGAAACTAATACACAGCTCTGGGTTAACACACAGAGGTCTCCAAGCCAAGCCCTGTTTCAGTGGGACTCACATTATTCATCCCTTGTAACAACTGGTGCTTCTTAAGAGAGCTGCTAGCTCCCAGAATAACTACATGGATCAAGTTTTGTCATCTCCCTCATCTTAAAGTTCACACTTCTGATTGTCCTACTTAGAAAGAGGGGGAATGAACAAGAGTCATTCATTGAATATCCATTTCTCATTAAAAATAGTTCTTATCCTGACTATTGCAGGGACGCTGTATTTCCTTGGTGGCTTGTTGCTGATCTCTGCTCTTGTCTGTTTGATTTCCGCCCTGGAAAACAGGTGTAGAGATGCTATAAGTAGCAAGAAGTCTGATGCATGCAGTGAGTTCCTTGCAGACTCTAAATTACAGTTTTCCTTCCTGTGCTACAACCTCAGGTCCCTGACCTGCAACTGCAGCATATTTTCTGTGACTAACAGCTGTAATTCCCTAATTATCATGCTCTGTTCTCCTGCTGTGCTGTAGATTTTGTTACCAAGGAAGCAAACCAAGTTTCCTCGTTCCTACCCTTGCTCTGTATGCTCCCAACTGTTTTAAATCCACCATTTGATGAAGCCTATAAAGACAAATGACTATCTCTTGTTTCAAATATTCAGTTTCCAGAAAATATTACATAGCTGCATGTTGGGGACAAGGAAGGAAAAACGAGCCTTTCTGGCCTTTCTTATAGTGAAGGCAGCCAGTCCAAAGCTATTGCTAGGTTAGAGAAAGTACCTTTATTAGCTGTAACCATCCTGTGTGGAGTGCTGGACTAGAGGTAGTCTCAAACAGTGGGCCCAAGCAAATAGTAGTGTTGCAATGTGACTGAGAAAACTTCTGCAAACCCCTGGAAAATGAAGGTGTGCATTAAACCCTGACGACAGGTTATATGTGTGCCATAATTTCCATACAAGCCTCATCATTTGAGGATGACTTACAAGAGGTCAGCTCCTTTTTTGCTTTTGAGGTTGGGGATAAATAATTGTGTGCCACATGGAAATGAGAATAAACCTGTGCTAATCTAGATGATTAGATCAATACAGCCAGACTGTATTGTGACAGATAAGCAGCTGGTTAAAATATCACAGAAACATGTTAGGAAGCGGAAAAAACTTCTAGTTCCTTAAAAACCCACAACCTAATGTTTACCCTTCTAAATATGCAAAGGTATATTTGACTACTGCATGTACTGAGGCTTTACTGTGATGCCTTAAGTTTTAGCTTTCATATTTTTCATATTCTGTGCTGCCTAGGTTTGTAGTTTTGAGCTTCATATTCATATTCAGTGTTAGTGAGCTCTCTTCACAGAGTAGGTAGACAAAACAATTCCTTTTCTAGCTTGATACCAAGGACAATTGTTACAAGTTTCAGGCCCAAAAGCATAAACAGTTGTGGACTCAAGAAAGGAAACAAGAAGAATGGGACTTCAAAACTTGAAGCTGTGATTGGACAATTAACCCCAATATGCAGATGGACCAAAACTTAAAAATATGTGAGACCTTGTGACCAGTCATCCATTTTTGTGACCATTTTTAGGTCCATCTTGGGTTTAGCCCTGGCCAGGCTCTAGTACTGCCCCAGGTGTGTCCTTTAAGGCCTTTCAATAAATACCTACTTTATACTTATTCTGTCTAGCCTCTGTTTTAGGTCAGCCTTCTCAAGGCATCAACTGGTTGATGACCATCATTCTCCTGCAGGATGCATAAAGGCAGGTTTAGTTCTTTAGGCAGTTGTCAGTTTGGGCTCCATCAGTCCAACACGGCTGCGTCCACGACATTTGCGTCAAGTCCCTGTTGCTCTGGGTGGCAGTAGGTGACAAACAGGAATGCTTTCCATGGGCCCAGCTCCAGGAATTAATTCATGTCTTGCTCCAGATATATCATCCAAGTTGCAACATGAATGATGTCCCCTGGGTCAGAGGATAAAAGTTACTGACTCCATATGGGGGATTTTTTGCTTGAGTCCTCTGAACTAAGAGAGAGGAGGCTGCTCCTTCCTCTGGACAACTGGAATTAAATCCACAGCTGGGTCTAGAAAATGTGACACCCAGGGTGGGGGGGCAACGAAGGAAATTATCTGCTTTGCCTGAATCAGAGAAGGAAAGATGAAATACAACCACCAAAGAAAAAGAGTAAGTTTAGACAAAATAAATACAAAATACAATACAAAAGATGTCCCTAGAACCGAGATTATCCAGCATTGCTTTATTTACAGACTTCACAAGGGGCTTCATAGAGTGCTTTATGTGGCTGGCAAGCATGGATCAGGTATGGATGCACAGAAGTCTACGGGGAGCATTGTGGATGTATTTCTCACTACAGAATAATGGTGGGATAAACTAGATAACCTATGAAGACACTTTTTTTAGTTTCTGGAACTCTGCTCTTGTGCCTGTTTAAGTATTGTGTACCTTAGCATACACACAGTGTAACATGGAAACTTGCCTCTAAGATGCATTAAACTCAAGGTTAGAGATAGAAACTTTAGTACTTCATAGAAACTCAAGCTTCTAGTGGTGGTAGTTCAGCAGATGCTTTGACACTTTGACATCATGGCACCATGACCTGGTATTATGCTATGCTAGATTGTACCTATAATAATCTAAATAATTTTTTATTATTATTATTTTTTGTGAGAACTTACTGTTTGATGTGATTGTACCTGATTTAGGTTTCTCTGTTTGCTTGCTGAGTGTACCTGTCCACACTTGTGAGGCTTCCTGTGATGGTCAGCAGGCTGCAGTGTATTTACCTGAGTCTCAGGGTGAAAGGAGTCACCAGCACACCTTGTGTTACCTGTCAAACATTGTGTGACCCTTCACCAGCAAGGCAATCAGGTCCCCCTCACCCCTACCACCAACAGCATTCTTTCTCATTGGTGTCAAAATGCATTCTAAAATAGGAGCTGGATGTGTAATTTAAAACCTTTATTCAGAAATATCGAAGGATCCCCAGTGTCCTTTCCCTTTGACAAGGCCAGGGAAAAGCTACCTAGTGCCAACCTGTTGTTAACACACTTGAAATGGGTACCTCAGAAGGATATTGATGAGGGTAGTTTTCATACTTCAGTTTTACTGAAGATGCGTACTCCTTTTGTGCAAATTCTGAGCTGTTCAGTGCTTCCAAATGTCATAAACTCTGCAGGTAAAGTTGTTTTTTCCCCAGTGAACTCTGAGGACATGTGCTGCTGGTGGCCTCAAGCTGGGAGTGACTTTTGTTGGGTGGCTCTTGGTGAATAGAGCAAGTGACACTCAGATGCTGAAGGACTCCAGAGGGCAGGAGAGTGCCCTCACCAGTTTCTGACTCAATACATAAACCTACAATTAAAAAAACCCCCAAAGCAGTAGGTTCTGGTCTCCTCAGCCCCAGCACAGGCCTGCACTCTGAGGTAGAACATGCAGCAGACTATTGTGTTAATTTTATTTTTTTTTAAGGTCCAGGATTCCACCACAGCAAACCTGGTGAGTCACTCTGTCCAGGACCAGTAAAAATACAGCTCTTGCTCCAGGCTTGGTTTATTTACAGCACCAGGAGCAGTTATGTGAGCAAGGCAGGTCTCTGCCTGCTGGGCATGCAAGTCCCTCCAGCAAGAATGAAGATGTGTGACCCTCAAAGCTGTGCTTAGCAGTCAGGAGCACCATCCTGCAGCATTCCTGCTGAGGCACACTCAGCTGAAACACTCAAGCTATGGCACGGGGGAGTTGGGTTACACAGGGGAGCAGGCTGACTCTTTCCTAGCTGAGCATCTGCTGTGCCACAGCACAGGCAGAGAGAGTTGTCTGGGGGCTCCCTCTGACACGCTTCTGTGGAGGTAATGCTTGCTGAGAGTGTTGGAGTGTGCATCTGCTTCTCCTGGGGAGGGGAGAGAGGGTGTGTGGTTAACCACCTTAATGAGATGGAGTGTTTTACTTGGGAAAAAGTGCATACACTTGGCAATAAAATGGAGCTTTGACCAGACAGCTGTGACTTAAATCAACCAGCTTGAAGCCCACACTGCAGAGGGATGGGTGCTGTACCATAATGCTAGGGTATAAAAGCTTTTCTGTCGGTGGTGGTGGCTTTCATTACTTGGCTTCAAACAAGTGACTCAGGTAGGACATTGAAATTAACCACGGTTATTAAATATTTGGGGGAAATGAGTGTCATTCTTCAGCCAATAACAGCCTTCTGTTCCTGGGCTACCCAGCTGTGTCTTTAGCACTGTGCATGGCTTAGTGTGTACCACCAGGCACAGCATTGCCTCAAGCAACACTTGAATGCATCCTGATATTACTGAGGGTCAACAGGATAAGTGCTTTGGGAAGGCTGAGATGGTTTAAGACAAATACGGATGTTATTCAGTGTTTATTTAAAAGTGAAGGGCAGAGGAAAGAATGGAGATGGTGAATGCTGTTTTCTCTGCTCTACTACCCAAGGGGGATGTGCTATGCTCTGCTTTTGCTTACTGTCAATCCCACCGGCGTAAGAAAGGCAGGGAAACCTGAACTGGGAAAGCAGGAGTAGCACACAGATCCTGCCTCCACCGAGTGTGGCTGATGTGGCTTGCACCCCACGTCTGCAGCACACACCTCCTTTGCTTTCCATTTATGCAGTGTGTAAGTGCTGTGCAGCAGAGGGTGTTGTGTCTTTTAGGAGTGTAGGGATGTGTGTTTTGTGTCTCCAGTGTGGTGTGCACTTGGGGCATGCCAGGGGTTTGTGTCTCACATGTACATCACGAGTGGTTTGTGCTGTGCAAGAAGCAGTACCCCTGGGTGCCACTGCATTCCCCCCATAGCTGCCCTGCAGCCTGCCTCAGCACTGCCCAGCATGGCTGTTGTCATGGCCAGCTGCAGCTGTCTGGGGATGAAGTGCCCTGTTGGGGTGCCAGCCAGTCTGGCTGCTGTGCAACAGGATTCTGCCTGCAGTCCCACTGGGTTTTCAAGGCTGTAAGGGTTTTCTGTGTCCCACTTCCCCTCACAGCATAGCCCTGGCTCTGTGTGAGCTGAAGCCTTGTCAAGAGTGGCCTAACACTCCCCCTGCACATGGGAGCAGGTGTCTGTGGCTGCAAGAGGCACACATCAGAGACAGGTGTCTCTTCTCGCAGGTGAAGGTGCATGGCAGACTGCTCTCATGCAAGCACCTCCACAGGAGTGGAGAGATGCTGAAGGTGCAGGGGCTTGTCCAGCTGGGGTGGGACACAACTGTAGCTCCTGGAGCAAAGGCATCTGCTCTTCCTCCTCAGGGAAGCACATCTGCAAAAAACCTAAACCCAATAGAGGTTTAATAGAGGCATTTTTCATTGCAACAACCTGGGTTTATAACTCTAAGGGAGGGTCAGTCTGTCAGCCTGCTAGGGGAGAGGTCTTACAAGCATCTACACTAGCCAGTGAGCCAAAAACTCAGTAAAGCTTGGGCTCTGGAGATGTTTTTTACTGTTTACCCTGTTTTCAGTTGCCCTAAACACAGAGGAACAGTGCAGGGAGTCAATAAGTGTTTGATTTCAGCCCACTCACCTTAGTGCCCCAACTCTTGATTTATACCGCCTCATCAGCTGGACCACAGTTGTTCTCTGGTTTTGCATTTTAACTTACCTGAAAGAAAACCATCATGTCATGCAGACAGTTAGAATTATTCATTTTTGATTTACAAAGCAGCTCCTTCAATCTGTTGCTAGCAATGTGTCCATAAAATACACTTTAACAACAAATAGACAAAGCAGGGACAAGGGGTGCTGTACATACCTCACAGCCAGACAAACCCCATGGTAGCAATTTCCTTCAAAGATCTTCCACTGTTTCACCATCCACCAGAAAAGGCTGATTCAGGCTGTTGGCCACGTGCAGAGGGGATTTCTTCAGCAAATTTCTTGCACAGAGCCTGTGGGCTCAGCTGCTGCCTGAAACAAGAAACACACAATAGAATAGCTGCAAAGATTTGACCCGACAGCTGCTTCATCTTCTGCACTGATTTAAAGCACCAGAGCCCTTTCTCAACCTGGCAATAAAGTCAGGCATTTATATATTTTTTTAACATGTACATAAATGATGTATCCATAGATATGTGTGTATTTATACACACACACACACACAGAGCTACATGTAAGTACATAAATATTTGAATATGTGAACATATATATTTATATCTATACAAGGGGGAAGATGGACATATACTTGACTAAAAAAGACACTTTGGGCAGCCAATTAACAGTCAAGACTTTATTATCCTGTTCAGCATGGGGTGCTATCCTGTGCACCTCACAGGCCCACCTAGTAAATTAAAATGCAACCTTTTGAAGTTTTAGCCTGTGTGACAAATGGCACGAGTGCAGCCTAGGGTACAGCAACCACCTGCCTGCCACTGAGGGCCAGTCAGAAACCCATTTCCACCTCAGCATCTGAAACTGTGCCTAGTATCTTTCTAAAGCCCCTATGTCACAATTTTTAAACAGTAACAAAGTGAGGTTGAGGGGGAAGCAACAGCAGGAGTAGGGAAAACTGCCTTTCCAGAGATATGATCGTTCCTGAAGTCAGACAAGAGGTTACCAGTCCCTGCTTTGGGGTGAGGATTCCAGGTGCCCATGAGGAGATGGCTTCTGCCACTCAGGTGAAACCCATCATTTCTTCCTGTGGTTTATCCTATTCCAATGTCTTCCTTCCCCTGCCTCAATCTTAGGAACTTAGCTCTTGATTAAGACACGAGCATTAGGTCAGCTCCTGTGCATTTGTAGCTGAAGTGTATTCAGCACTTACTGAAACAGTTACAGCCCTTTATATATATATATAAATATGTATAATGTTATATTTTTAGATAAATAATAATATGTCTATTGATATTTGTAGATATACATGAAAGATATAAAAGGTCTTTTATAAAAAGACCTGTACAAAAACATCTGGCATATCTAGGTGATCATCAGACACTGTCCCAACACCTCTGTCACCTGCAAATGGTGCAGAAACTTGTCACCAAAACTAAGGCAACTGAAAGCCCAGGCACAAATAGTGCAGTGTATGGTCAGACTCCAGGGCTGTGATGGTTGGCCTGTTCCTTGGAAGTGAAAGCCTAGGGTAAGTTACTCCACAACATATGTTTTTTTCAAGAGAGGAAAGCATTTGCAAAACTTGCAAGACGATTCTATAGCTGTAACAGGAGCTTGTACCGTACGTGCTTCTGATGGTGCCTTGTTACCTCATGCTCATGCTATAGAGCCCTCTCTGTTATCTGCAGAAAACTTGGTCTCACTGGGCATTTTCTGCACCACACTTTGCATTCCTCCTCCTTTCCCCAATCATCCTCTCCCAACAAAGGCTCTTTTTTCCAGGAGAATTAAGGAGCAAATTGTCGTATCTGTTCCAAGGGCAGAGTGTGTTGGGCTTACTTACTCTGTGAGGAGTATTGGCAGTCATGGGACTCCAACAGCTGGATCTGAGCATTTCCTTTAATTGAACAGGTTTGCAGTCTCTGTGCTGAAGCAATTCTCCACATCACACAAGCCTGCATACCAGAATAAAATGAAAATTTAAGAGTGCTGGCTAACAAGACCGAGAAGCTCATTGTTTAAACAAGAGGCTGATTGTCTGGGTGCTCGAGTGCCCCATTCCTCCAACATTAAACCCACACGAGGGACAGCAGCTTAATCCACAGCTTGCTGCCAGGTGGTATAGAAATTAATCTTCTACTTACCGGGGCTATTAGTTGCGGTGTTCATAAAGGTTTGCAACCCAATGAGGCGAGCGACTAAAATTTTCTCCTTGTCAGAGACAGGCATGGCAACGTGGTGATATGAAATGTCAGCCTCCAGGAGCCTCCCCTGTGGTGAGGAAAGTGTGGATGGTGTGTACCAGGGAGGGGAAGAGCATCCCAGCACCTTCTGTTTTAACACATGAGCCCCAGGCTGTCCAACTGCACAGAAAATGTGTTGGAGCATGAGGGATGGACTGGGAAAGCCCAGGCTCACCAAGGACCCGAGCACAGGCCAGCATAACGTGCAGGGCTGAGCCAGTTTGGTGTTCATGAAGACAGGAAATATTTTTTTTCCCTCACATTTAACAACACCAAAACTCTCATTTCTAGTCTGACAAGCCCCCTGAGAGTACTGCACACACAACACAGAGACCCTCATTAGGTCTCCCAAAAGCTTAGGGACCTGCCTCAGATCTGCTTGCCAGGACATTTCACTCATCTTCCAAGCAGGGTATGAGAAGAGAGGAGGAAGAGAACTCCTGCCCTTTATTAGTCTTCTGCTCCCTTAAAATCCAAGGAGGAAAGGGAAAATACTCAGCTGCAAGCAGGTGATCAAAACAGGAGCCACATAAACATAAACATTTGGAAGGGTAAAGCCTCAGGAGTGTTTAGCATGATTGCTTCCAGTTTTCATCTGCTCACATTTCACTGCAGACGTAATTCGCTGCAAAGCACTGCCAAAGCTTTTCACAACACCAAGGCATGCTGAACTCCATGCAGATAATAATATTTACAAGTACTGCAGCTTTCCCCACATCCTTCCTTAATGTTTTCCCAGCAGCTTGCAGTCCCATCTGGCTTTGGCTGTTCTCACTGCTGTGTCAAAGACTTTCCTTGCCTCACAAGCTTGTGGTTGTGCCACAGGGAGGTGGCAGCCTCTTGCTTTGCCTGTGTGGTTGACCAACCCATCTTGCTGTGCAAATGGAAAAGCAAATGGTCAGGGCCAAGTGAAAGTTGGTTCTTTGCCATGTGTTTGTGCATGACTCTGACTTGGTGCCCAGGTATGTCTCTAGGGCATCCCAGGTTATTCCCTAATTCATAGAAATCTTTTGCAAAACAACAGATTTCCCCAAAGAGAAACACCACAGT